TTAAGGTATATTTATAGATTTCTTTAAATAATTAATTTCCATGAATAACTTATGTCTCTTTTTTTTCTTTCTTTCTTTTTTTTTTCTCTATTTCCTTTTTACCCTACACGAACTTTGACTTGTCCAAGGATAACATAAGTCTCTAAAATCTCTGTGTGACTTAAGGTTTGGCAAGATTCAGATTACTCTTTAAATGAGTGATTGACATATTCAAGAAGAAGGTATCGATAGAATTCTTAGGTTGTACCTTATTCTTCATGTTTTTCTCTTTCTTCTTTTAGATCTGTATTTCGGAACCTGGGAAGTTTACTCAAAAGGTGAAGGTATGGATTAGTGAATACTGGAACCTAATAGAAATGGTGGCAATTGGCCTCTTTTTAGTTGGTTTCGGTCTTCGGTGGGGTGATCCTCCTTTTCACACAGCAGGAAGACTGATCTACTGCATAGACATCATATTTTGGTTCTCACGCCTCCTGGACTTCTTCGCTGTGAATCAACATGCAGGTCCGTATGTGACCATGATTGCAAAAATGGTGAGTACATCTGGTTTTATATCCTGGTGTTCTTTTCTTTAATTTTAAGAGATAGGATCTTGCTATGTTGCCCAGGCTGGACTTTAACTCCTGGGCTCAAGCGATCCCACTGCCTCAGTGTCCCAAGTAGCGGGGACTGTGGGTGTGTGCTACCAAGCCTGGCTTCTTTTTAATGATGCTACCTAATTTCATGGTTCATATCCAAAAGTTTAACTTTCAGAATTACTTATGACAACACAAAGAACAAGATCATTTTATCACTGCTTTCCATATAATCACAAACTTGTATTTAACAAATGTTCTTGGATAGCATATGGGTTGATCAGGATATTCCACTTACCCTTTTGGTTGGGGCCAGATGACATGGATCGAGTCAAATTTGTCCCTGAGCACAATAATTCCTGAGGGCCAGATTTGTATGAGGCTACGACCAGTAATATTTTCTGCTAAAATATCAATTTATTCTTTAATCATTCACTCATTCTTTCTCTCCACCACACCTTTTTATTTCTTTCCCTCAGAGACAGGGTGTTGCTCTGTCACCCAGGCTGGAGTGCAGTGGTGAGATCATAGCTCACTGCAGCCTCCAACTCCTGAGTTCAAGTAGTCCTCCTGCTTCAGCCTCCCAGGTAGCTGAGATTAC